ACAGTCCCCTGGTGCCCCCACCCCCAGCTGCAGGATGTGGTGAGGCTGTGACACAGCTCTTGGTAACCAAAGCTGCTGCCTCCCTGCTCAGATGTCTTTCTGCACCGCTCGCTACTTCCTCTAACCGTGTCTGTGGTGTGATCAAACACCTCCCGAGGACACGTTCTCTGGGGGGGGGGGTGTTCTTATTTTGCTTCTTTTCTTTTGATCTCACCCAGTAGCTTGCCGGGGTTGCAGCAGCTGTGTGTGCAGTGAACTCCCCTCACAGCCTGGGGTGAATCTCACCGAACCACGTTAAAATGCTTTTTCAGTTTCTCCTGACACATGTTGTGGCCCCTCTTGCAACAGGAGTTTGGATCTCTCTGCTCCCACCCAGAAGAGCCCCTTCCTGCAGGAAAAGCAGCACTAGGAAAAGTTGACCCCGTTCTTAACGGGACAAACTGAAGTGGTTTGGTTTTTTTTTTTGCCTCGCTGTAATTAAATAACAAAACAAGAGGCCTTGGTTTAAATCTTTTTAATCTTTCTCCAGAGAAGAAATGCTGATTAGCCCTATGCAGCATCTGTTAGAGATAGGCTGAATCGCCACAAAGGGAGTCTTGACCTTGAATTTGGGCTTCTCTTGCCACCGTTTGAGGATACTGTTTGCCTCTTTGAAGATCACTATGGCTTCATAAAAATCTAAGTAGATTTCTGCTGGGTGAAAGGGGTTTGTTTGCTTGCTTTATTATAAAATAATGGAAACTCTTGTTTGCCAGATTGGATAAGGCATCAGCTTTAGTTAATTTCTGTTACTTTATTTATTTTTCTGTCCAGCACATGTAAAATAATATTTTTGGTGCACACAGCTTTCTGCCTTAAGCTTCCATCAAAGAGCAGCTTGACACAAATTATACGAGGAGATGGATGTGGGAACAAAGGAGGTATAATTAGCTACAGATAAACAGAGCTGTGTTTCTCGTCAGCATCCTTTCAGATCTTCGCTTGTGTCTCACCCTCTTGGAGCTAATTCTTTTCCACAGACTGCAAGAGGAAGGCGAGCTTTCCCTGGTCGTCCAGCTTTCAGCCAGCCTTCAGCTTGAAGCGAGCTCAACCGAAATGAAAAATATGTTTATGGTCTGTCTGCAGCTGCAGAAGAGGCTGTGGCTGCTCTTAGAGCTGGTGTTATTTCAGGATATTCTCTTTCCGGGTGCCTGAGCTGTGACTTCTTCTTCTTCTTCTTCTTCTTGTTCCCCTCTGCCCTTTCGTGTCCTGCGGTGAGCGCCGCGGCAGCGCAGGCAGCTCCTGCTGGAAGGGCTGTTCTGTTGGAGTGCGGCTGGCAACGGATCTGAACTTTATTGTAGGGGGTCATAACCTTGTCGTTAGGCTTGTTCCCAAAGAGGGGAGGGTGGAGAAAAATCTGATCCAGGTAAAACCCAATTTCTTTTACCCTTCTTAACTGTGGGTGCGCTGGAGGGGAGCAGGTGGTGGAGCTTCTCCCTGTTTCTGTGGGGTTTGGTGCCCGTGGTGCGGTGATGTCGGGATGAAGAGCAGCCATCTCCTGCTGAGGCTGGGGGACACAGGGGGTGACTGTGCCTTGATGTTGTCTTTTGCCCCTTCCCTGGGGGCAAACTGTGGGGCTGGTTCCCTCCTCCCCACGTTGAGCAAGGGGGACCTGGCAGGGGTGACTCCTCGTTCTGTGGAGCCGGGCTGCAGAGGGAAGGGGGAGGAAGGAAAGCTGGCGTTGGCTTCCCCTCACCCCCCCGGCCTCAGATCTGGGGCGAGGGCCCAGATGGTATCCCAGATCTCTTCCTATGGGATTTAGACAAGGTTTCCTGTTGAGAGAGCTGCTCCTAATCGCTGCCCTTCTGTGCTGCCTTTGCAGATCAGGACCAGATGAGCAGAGGGAGGTTTCTGTGAAGATCAGAGTCTCCCCAGCCCTGCCCCGGGAAGTGGCCCAGCAGCGCTGCGTCTCTGGCTGTCATCGCTACGGACCTGGAAAAGAAAGAAGAGAAGAAAAATGTCCCATGCTTTAAAGCAAGTGTTCAATAAAGACAAAACCTTCCGGCCCAAGCGCAAGTTTGAGCCGGGGACTCAGCGGTTCGAGCTGCACAAGAAGGCTCAGGCCTCCCTCAACGCTGGCCTGGACTTGAAAGTGGCCGTCCAGCTGCCGCCGGGCGAGGAGCAGAACGACTGGGTGGCCGTGCACGTGGTGGACTTCTTCAACCGCATTGTTTCTGTGGGGTTTGGCGCTCGTGGTGCGGTGATGTCGGGGTGAACAACAGCCATCTCCTGCTGAGGCTGGGGGACATGGGGTGATTGTGCCTTGATGTTGTCTTTTGCCCCTTCCCTGGGGGCAAACCATGGGGCTGGTTCCCTCCTCCCCACATTGAGCAAGGGGGACCTGGCAGGGGTGACTCCTCGTTCTGTGGAGCCGGGCTGCAGAGGGAAGGGGGAGGAAGGAAAGCTGGCGTTGGCTTCCCCTCACCCCCCCGGCCTCAGATCTGGGGCGAGGGCCCAGATGGTATCCCAGATCTCTTCCTATGGGATTTAGACAAGGTTTCCTGTTGAGAGAGCTGCTCCTAATCGCTGCCCTTCTGTGCTGCCTTTGCAGATCAGGACCAGATGAGCAGAGGGAGGTTTCTGTGAAGATCAGAGTCTCCCCAGCCCTGCCCCGGGAAGTGGCCCAGCAGCGCTGCGTCTCTGGCTGTCATCGCTACGGACCTGGAAAAGAAAGAAGAGAAGAAAAATGTCCCATGCTTTAAAGCAAGTGTTCAATAAAGACAAAACCTTCCGGCCCAAGCGCAAGTTTGAGCCGGGGACTCAGCGGTTCGAGCTGCACAAGAAGGCTCAGGCCTCCCTCAACGCTGGCCTGGACTTGAAAGTGGCCGTCCAGCTGCCGCCGGGCGAGGAGCAGAACGACTGGGTGGCCGTGCACGTGGTGGACTTCTTCAACCGCATCAACCTGATCTACGGCACCATCAGTGACTATTGCACGGAGCAGTCCTGCCCTGTCATGTCGGGGGGACCCAAGTACGAGTACCGATGGCAGGACGAGCACAAGTACCGCAAACCCACCGCCCTCTCCGCTCCCCAGTACATGAACCTCCTGATGGACTGGATTGAGGTACAGATCAACAACGAGGACATCTTTCCCACTAACGTTGGTGAGTTCGGTTCCAGTTGTGGCTGGAGGGAGGGAGGCTGTGCAGAGCCTTCTCCTTGGGAGCCCTTGAGTCCTGTTTCTATTCCAGGAGATGCTGTTGCAGAGGTTTCCTTCATGCTGGCAGTGTAGTAAAGCTCTTCCGAGCACCTGAGAAGCTTCAGAGCTCTTCTGGGGTGCTAAAATATCCAGATCCCATTTGGGGTCATGGATACTTCAAGGAAAGCCAAGCTCGAGCCCAGGCAGCAAAAACAAGAGGCTGCTCTTAGAGAAGTCAGTCTCTGCCATGACTCTTGAGTAGTTCCTGCTGGACGTGGTCTCCTGAGGGACGCTTCTTTTACAGCTGATTGCTAGCTTGGCTTTAGCGTGGCCTGCGTCGGCCTGGGGATGGTGGCCACGTTGCCATAATTAGCCTCTTTGTTATTACAGGCTGGCATTAGCTGAGTCTGCCCTTTCTAGCCCAGTGCTTCCTGGCGTGCCCCGGCTGTTGGTGGCAGCTGGGAGGGTGCTGACATGTGCCCGGAGGGAGGGGCGGTGTTTTATCTGTTGCCAGGGTGATGGAGATGCAAATTTGGCCTAAGACACCTAAATCTGCGTATCCAAACGCAGCGTCGTGTCCTGGCTTTGGGACAGAGATTGTTGGGGTTTTTGTTTGGCTTGTGCTGAGTCAGATGTGAGACTTCAGTATCCAAAGCATTAGGTAAATAAAGGATTGATCCCGTTCAGAGCTCCCATCTCCTTCCTTCCTCCCTGCTGTCCAGCCTGTTGGAGCTCTGGTGGGATGATTCAGAGCTCCCATCTTCTCCTTCCTTCCTCCCCACTGTCCAGCCTGTTGGAGCTCTGGTGGGATGCACTTGGCCTCTGTTTGGGACATATCTGCCACACGGGCATCCACGGGGCTCCTCCACCAGTGCCAAGATGCTGCTTACACCTGGTGTGAGTGAGCAGAGGGGGGAGCAGGGCCATAAACACCCCTTCTTCACACACCTGAACCACTGAAATCCTCTCCACCCCTTCCCCCTGTCACCCAAACACCCGTTGCCTTGCCTTTAGTTTGGGCTCTTCTGCAAGGCTCTCTGGGGACTGAGCTGGCTGTTTGTTCTCTTCGGGGAGGCAAGACAAGGTCCCAACAGCAGGAGGGTTGCAGGTTGTTTTTTCTTCTTAATTGTTATTGTTTTCGGCTCAGCTTTTACCAGATTGCTCGCCCTTAACGCCGCCTGAAACGCTGCAGTCCTTGCAGAGCACTTGCACTTGGCCTCTGTTTGGGACATATCTGCCACACGGGCATCCACGGGGCTCCTCCACCAGTGCCAAGATGCTGCTTACACCTGGTGTGAGTGAGCAGAGGGGGGAGCAGGGCCATAAACACCCCTTCTTCACACACCTGAACCACTGAAATCCTCTCCACCCCTTCCCCCTGTCACCCAAACACCCGTTGCCTTGCCTTTAGTTTGGGCTCTTCTGCAAGGCTCTCTGGGGACTGAGCTGGCTGTTTGTTCTCTTCGGGGAGGCAAGACAAGGTCCCAACAGCAGGAGGGTTGCAGGTTGTTTTTTCTTCTTAATTGTTATTGTTTTCGGCTCAGCTTTTACCAGATTGCTCGCCCTTAACGCCGCCTGAAACGCTGCAGTCCTTGCAGAGCACTGAAAGGGTTTAACTAATCCTCATTCCTCCAGAAAGGACCTGGGTGAACTTTAAACTGTAATATTCTACTGAGATGGCTGGTTGGCTTGGCTGCAGGGCCCCGGCTAAACAAATCCCAAAGGCCTGGCGCCTTTAAGAGGACCTTAACGTCTTTAATTTTTAACCAAAGAGCTAAAGACATACCAAAATAAGAGATTAACTGTGGGGAGTTAACAGCACCGACTGTTTCTCTGGGGAAGCTGCTTGGTCATATCTAGTATTTTGCACTGTTTATGTAAACGTGCCAAATAGGAGTAGAGGAGAACTGGACACCAGACTGACACAGCTGCTGGGAACCTCCCTTGCTGGTCTCCTGCTTTCAGTCACTATCAGCCATCGATGGCCACAGCACTTTGTCACTTAAAAATCTCTGCTTTGAAAAATCTGGAAAGCAAAAAGGAGAGGGAAACTGGGAATTACCTGGGACAGAATCCTTTTTCCCTTTTTGTCTCAATCTAAACGTTTTATCAATTTATTTTAGCCCCAAGGAACCAGTTCTAACTTTGCTGAAAGTTTCTCCTGCTTGTGTCTTCCCTCCCAGGTACTCCCTTCCCCAAGAACTTCCTCCCGGTGGTGAAAAAGATTCTCTCCAGGCTCTTCCGGGTCTTTGTCCACGTCTACATCCACCATTTCGACAGGATCACCCAGATGGGGTCGGAAGCCCACGTGAACACCTGCTACAAGCACTTTTACTACTTTGTGAAAGAGTTCAATCTCATAGACACCAAGGAGCTGGAACCACTGGTGAGTGTCTGGGTGGGCTCAGGGTAGACATCGGGGTCTGCAGCCAGCACAGGATGAGTCACAGAGGTCTCTGGTACCTTCTCAAAACTGGTGGCCCAAATTCAAGACATTGGTTGGCCTTGGAGTTTGACAATCAGGACGTGCAGACAGAGCTGAGCAGGGTTTTCTCCAGCAACCTCCTTGTGTTTCCAGCAGCTGGCTTGGCTTGTTTGTGTGCATGGCATGAGCCCGGCCCCGTCAGCCATCCAGGATGTGGGTCAGAGAACTGCTTTGGGTGGGAAGGGACCTTAAAACCCCCCCCAGTGCCACCCCCTGCCCTGGGCAGGGACCCCTCCCACCACACCAGGTTGCTCCAAGCCCCCTCCACCCTGCCCTTGACCCCCTCCAGGGATGGGGCAGCCCCAGCTTCTCTGGCCAACCTGGGCCAGGCTCTCCCCACCCTCACACCAAACAAGTTCTTCCCCACAGCTCAGCTCCATCTCCCCTCTTGCAGGGTCCAACCCTTCCCCCTCCTCCTAGGGCTCCCCTCCCTCATCCAGAGTCCCTCCCCAGCTTTCCTGGAGCCCCCCTTCTTTAGGGACTGGAAAGGGCTCCAAGGTCTCCCCGGAGCCTTCTCTTCTCCAGGCTGAACCCCCCCAACTCTCTCAGCCCCCCCTCCCAGCAGAGGGGCTCCAGCCCTCCCAGCATCTCCGGGGCCTCCTCTGGCCCTGCCCCAACAGCTCCATGTCCTTCTGCTAGAGGCTAAAACCCTCTCCCTGTGCTTACTTCCCATGTTGAAAAGCAAGGACAAGCCCATGGCCTTCACAGGGAGGCTGGAGAGTGTGACCTGTTAGACCTAGGGCGTGGGGATGGTGTTTCTAAGGTGGGGGAGCAGACCCTGTGGAGCTGTTGGGCGGTGGAAGGGTGTCCTGTGGTGCCTGGGAATGGGAGTGGTGGGGGGAATATGGACCTGCCCAAACTGAAGCTCTTAATGAGAGTGTCACCACATGCCTGAGATGGGCATTTATGGCTAAACAAAGGAGAGGTTTTCTCATCCACACCCTCTCCTGGCAATCAGGATCTTCATTCACGGTCCCATGTCTTGTCTGTCCCTTTGGCAGAAGGAAATGACCTCCCGGATGTGCCACTGAGATCAGAGGGAGCTTCCCCCTCCCACCTCGGCGTCTCTCCTGAGGACCCCCAGTCCCACCCCTTCATCAGAGGCGTGATTCAAGGGGAGAACAGAGACGTTTTCTTAAAGAAATCTATATATTTTTAATGAGTTTCAATGTAAAACTGTGATATTGCAGGAATATTTTTTTAAAGATGCTCTAGATAAACTAGTTTTTTATAGTAATTTCTATAAAAAAAAAAAGAAAAAAAGAAAATATTTCGGGCCACTTGACAGAAGTGCTCGCTCTTGGAGGAGGGAAGAGCCACCCTGTGCTGTCCCTTCCCTGTCCCCTCACGGCGGTGGCACCGATGCCTGAGAGCGAGCCGTGTCGTAGCGGTACTTCCCTCCGGACCCCCACTCCCCCCCCGTGAAGGGAGGGTCTGTGGGGACTGGGGATGAAACGCTGGGGTACGCGGATCCTGGGGTGCTGTGTGGCTCCAGCACCCCTTCCTCTGCCTGTGAGCCCAGTTTTTGGATGGAGCTGCTTTCGTGCTCCCCCTCCGCTTGGCACCCTGTCCCCGAGGCTTGGCCCTCCTTGCTTTCCCTCTGGAAGAAGTTGGACTTGGGGTTCTTTGACGGTTGGACAAGATGATCTTTAAGGTCCCTTTCAACCTAGAAGATTGATTCTGTGATGGCGGGAGCAGCGCTGCTCTGCTGCTGGAGCCCATCCTGCCGCTGTGAAGCTGCTCGTGCCTCTTGCACCAGCTCTGAGCTGAGCTCCTCCCCGTGCACCCCTGGCTGCCATGTCCCCACAGGGGACGGGGACCCGCGCTGGCAGCGTTAGACCAAGCTGTGCCTCGTGGGGACGAGCAGGGGGAAGGCGCTGGGAGAGGAGTGGGGAAGTCTTCTTCTCAACCACCTGCTCTTCCCCCTCTCCTTGTGGTACGCTGACCCGGCCGAGAAGGAACTGGGCTGTGTCATCCTCCAGCCTTGCTTACTGGCCACGTCTGGACCATTTTCTGCTTCCCAGTAGGATATGGAGCCTCCTCCCTCTCCCCGAGCAGCGTGGCCCCGCTCAGCTGCTTCTATCTCACCACCAAGGTCTCTGGTGCTCAGCCAGACACCACCAGCCTGTCCTGCCCCTTGCACGAGCAACTCTGCTGCATCACAAGAGCTTTGTGGTGCCCCCACAAAGTAGATGAGGTCTACCTAGGCTGGGGGGGGTTTACAGTAAGAGAAAAGGTTTCTACGACCAGTGACCAAACAGCACCACTAACCACTGCTTCCTTGCAAACTTTTCCTGTGTCCTGGAATCTCTGTACATACGTGACTCTTCGTTTCTTGTACTGTCGTTAGGACACCTCGTACAAATACCACTCTCCTCTTCTGAAATGGAACCAATAAATTATGTTGTATTTACATTGCACGCTCCGAGCGCCGAGTGTCTCGTGACGGGGCGTTCGTCGGGGGTGTCCTATCAGCAGAGCAAACACCCAGTGGTTGGTCTCCTCGGAAAGCCCTGGAGAGCCCTTTCCTGGCTGAAAGCTCCTGGGGGTGGGTGCTCCTGGCTCTGCTGCCACCCCCTTTGCTCCCTCCCACTCTGGAGGTGTGGGGTCCGGGCTGCTCCCAGCCCCACGCTTGTCCCCACGGCTGTGGGGCAGAGCGGGTGGGTGCTGGGGTTGTCCTGCCTTGTCTCTGCAGCGTCCCTGCACCCAAGGGCTCATTCTCCCAGCTCTGAAAAGTGGGTGGATGTGGGCAGAGGAGGCGAATTCAAGTTTTTCAAGGTGCTGATGGGCTCTGCTGCCAGTGGAAGGAGCTGTGGGTGCAGCCAGCTGTAGAGGTGACAGACTGGAGTGGCCAAAGCTCTGCGTTTGGGGTCCCCGGGTCCTTTTCCTGGCTGGGGGGGCAGGAAGGGGCCGTACGGCCGTGACTCCCAGCTGTACAGACCTGCCCTGCCCGGGTCTTGCCCCCTCCCCGTGCACGGTGGAGGTGCTGGGCCCTCCCAAGCCCCCTCCTCTCCTGTGTTTTTGTGGGTGCATTGGCTGGAACCGTGTCTCCCCCTGGCTGGGTGCTGCCAGAGGGTGCAGTGAGGCCCTGGGGTGCCGTGGCTGGAGCCCCCCATGGAGCTGAGACCCACCACTGCCCGGGAGAGGGTGCAGGAAACCTCCCCAGCCCCTGTGCCCGAGCGGGGAAGGACACAAACCCCCAGGGACCCCAGTGCTGGGCTGGGGGGGGAAGGCCTGGAGCTGGTGCTGAGCCATATGGGGTCACCTCCTGTCACTTTTCAACCACTTTCCCTGCGGAAGGACACAAACCCCCAGGGACCCCAGGGCTGGGGGGGGGGGAAGTTCTGGAGCTGGTGCTGAGCCATATGGGGTCACCTCCTGTCACTTTTCAACCACTTTCCCTTTCACACCGACCTCGGGTGCTTCCCGTGCCGTGTCTGGGGGTGTGTGGCACCCATCGGCTGTCACCCCCCGCCCTGCCTCCCTCTGCCCTCCCTTCCTTCAGCTTGGGGAAGGATCTGAGACTGGTTCAGCCAAGGCAGGAGGAGGAGGAAGAGGAGGAGAAGCACCTTTGGGGAGAGGAGCCGGGGCCCGGAGGTGCAGCCGAGCCCGTCCTCCCCGGCGTGCGGCGGGGCAGGATGTTGCGTTCTGGAGCTGGTGCTGAGCCATATGGGGTCACCTCCTGTCACTTTTCAACCACTTTCACACCGACCTCGGGTGCTGCCAGTGCCGTGTCTGGGGGTGTGTGGCACCCATCGGCTGTCACCCCCCGCCCTGCCTCCCTCTGCCCTCCCTTCCTTCAGCTTGGGGAAAGATCTGAGACTGGCTCAGCCAAGGCAGGAGGAAGAGGAAGGAGGAGAAGAAGGAGGAGGAGGAGAAGCACCTTTGGGGAGAAGAGCCGGGGCCCGGAGGTGCAGCCCAGCCCATCCTCCCCGGCGTGCGGCGGGGCAGGATGTTGCCCAGACAGGTTTGTGGAGCCGCCGCCGCAGCCGGGGCTCGGCCTTTCCCCGCTTCTGCCTCCGCCTTCTCGCCCCGGCAGCGCCCGGCTCTTTCATCTCCCCGAGCCCACGGGGCCTGGTGGGTCCTCGCCCACGAGCCACAGCCGCCCCCTCGCAAGCGATTCCCAGTCTGCGGGCGAGCTCCTGCGGGGCTGGCTGGGACCCCTCGGGGATTTTCCGGTACCGGTGGGGAACACGCTGACCCAGGTGCCACAAAGGCTTTGGTGGGAGCCCCAAGGAGCCCAGGGGAGACCAGAAGAGGAGGCTGAGGGGAGACCTCATCACTCTCTACAACTACTTGAAAGGACACTGTAGAGAGGTTGGTGCTGGTCTCTTCTCACAGGTCATTAACAATAGAATGAGAGGGAACGGCTTCAAGCTCCAACAGGGGAGGTTTAGATTGAACATTAGGAAGGAATTTTTCCCAGAAAGAGTGGTCGGGCATTGGAACAGGCTGCCCAGGGAGGGGG